ATTTAAACATTGTGTCTCCAGATCGTCCATCGCCATATCTGCTAGGATAAGTGAAATCGGAGAATCCATGGGAGTGCCGAAGATCTGTTCATAAAAACGTCCGTTAAACGAAAAGTAAGTTGAATCCAAAATTGCTTCTATTGCATATAAAAATTGAGATAAGTTAAATTTTGTGTTATCGTCCCAGCGCTTTCTTATGGCATTTACAACCAACTCTTTTGGGACGTTTGTAAATAACGAAGTTACATCCAACGAAATCATAATGTTGTCTTCATTAATAACTGTATTCTTGATATTTTTGACAAAGGACCAACCATCTTTAATGTATGAATTTGATTTCTTTAGCGATTTATACAGAATATTGTGGATGTAACTGGAAATATTATATACCGGGCTTCCCAAAGCAGATACTATAATTCTCAACGGAAAACCGTCTTTATGAATCTTTGGCAGACCGTAAGAACGCGGTAAATTACCGTTCATGCAATTTAAGTTTTTGTATGTCAATTCATTAATCAAATTATTCTTGCGCCATGATTTGACCAACTCGTTGATCTTATTGGTCAGTCTTTTCAAAGGATCCTTATTCAATTCTTTATATGTGGTTTGATCACTCAACAGCAGATCCATTTTGTCAAAATAATCTTTTTTGTCCATAACGACAGTAATCTGACTCTTGTCGGCTCTCGTGACCATAATGTCGTTATTATTTTCGCGTAGATACCTCCTGGAGATAGCGAACGAATTGAGGATACATCTGTCTGAATAATTAATATGTTTCTTGGTACAAAGAAATCTTTGAAGGATATTGGCCACGGAAATCCTAGTTCTTTCAATAGCATCAGTAGGCAGAATATTGCTATTCAGTGGACAATGGACAAAAAAGATTATTTTGACAAAATGGATCTGCTGTTGAGTGACCAAACCACATATAAAGAATTGAATAAGGATCCTTTGAAAAGACTGACCAATAAGATCAACGAGTTGGTCAAATCATGGCGCAAGAATAATTTGATTAATGAATTGACATACAAAAACTTAAATTGCATGAACGGTAATTTACCGCGTTCTTACGGTCTGCCAAAGATTCATAAAGACGGTTTTCCGTTGAGAATTATAGTATCTGCTTTGGGAAGCCCGGTATATAATATTTCCAGTTACATCCACAATATTCTGTATAAATCGCTAAAGAAATCAAATTCATACATTAAAGATGGTTGGTCCTTTGTCAAAAATATCAAGAATACAGTTATTAATGAAGACAACATTATGATTTCGTTGGATGTAACTTCGTTATTTACAAACGTCCCAAAAGAGTTGGTTGTAAATGCCATAAGAAAGCGCTGGGACGATAACACAAAATTTAACTTATCTCAATTTTTATATGCAATAGAAGCAATTTTGGATTCAACTTACTTTTCGTTTAACGGACGTTTTTATGAACAGATCTTCGGCACTCCCATGGATTCTCCGATTTCACTTATCCTAGCAGATATGGCGATGGACGATCTGGAGACACAATGTTTAAATTCATTGAATTTTACCGTTCCTATTTATTACAGATTTGTGGACGATGTTTTTGCAATAGTGCCACGCACAAGAATTGATGAAATTTTAACTAATTTTAATAATTATCACGAATGCTTGAGATTTACTTACGAGATGGAAATTGATTCGTCGATTAGTTTTTTAAATGTTAAAATCATTCGGTCGGGAACTAGACTTATTACCAATTGGTTTAGGAAACCTACATGGTCTGGGAGGTACATCAATTATTATTCGAACCACCCGCTAAAATATAAAATTAACACTATCTATAATTTAGTCGACCATGCTATTTTATTATCTAATGACTGCTTCAAACAAGAAAATATCAAGCTAGTATATGACACCTTAATCAATAATTGTTTTCCAGAACATATCATACGTAGACATATTCAAAAAAGAATTAATTTTTTAAATAATCGCGACCACAATGATACTGTTGACGTGAATCCTACTCATCGTTTAGACAAGACTCATTTTATTACAATACCATACGTAGAGAATACGAGTCATGATCTGTACCCTCTTTTGCAAAAAAGTGGTTTTAATGTCGTCTACAAAATAACAAAAAAACTAAATAATTTAATTAGACGCGGTAAAGATAACTTACACAATAATGACAAGACAAGTGTTGTATACAAATTAAATTGTAAGGATTGTAATTTATCATTCATTGGGCAAACAAAAAGACATTTACGTACGAGAGTGAAAGAACATTGTAATAATATAAAGTTACATGAAACTAATCATTCGGTCATTAGCAAACATAGATTGGAATCCGGACATGATTTTGACTGGTCGAAACCCAATATTTTGCGTAATGAAAAGTATGTTCGAAAAAGAGAGATTGCTGAGATGTTCTTTATCAAGAGATTTAATAATCTAATCAACCTACAGAAAGACAAGGATAGTTTAAAGAACATTTACGACAAAATAATAAAGCTCACGTAGTTTCGTTTTTCCTCTGGTTGTGTTCAATTTCTTGATGAAGTCTCACACGGACGCCTCAGTTTCTCTCAAATTCGAATCTAGTTAAATAACATTTTTTGTTAATGTGACTTGTGCAGGTTTACAAGATTATCGTCTATGCCTGTCTCCTGATTTTTATTACATCGATAAAAAATTGTTCACACTTTAATTCGTTGTGCGTACTATGTATTCAAACTGTTAATTAATTAATTAATTTATTTATAAATCTTTTCCAGTATATACTTGATAAGGACCACAACCATATGGTCGAAACATCGTATTAATAAACAAATTTTCTGGCTAGTTTGGTCGATACTTTTTTCAATGATCCTTTGATTATTTGACTATCGACATTAAGTTATTTTATAATTTTTAAAATTGAAAAATTATTTCAAGCCTCATAACTCGGAAAGTACTCAATGAAAAAATACTTTATTATAGTTTTTTGGAAAGTTCAGATAAACTACAAGAATATATAAAAGTATATAGGGTGTTCCATTTAAAAAGTTGGAGATAACCTTCACGTGACCTTCAGATGATTCTTCAAGATCAAACTAATGACATCCTCTTATCCGTCCGCCTTCAAGTCCTACAACTTTTGTCTGAAACATTTTTGTCTTGAACTTATGGAATTTGAGATATTTCAGTGCATATATTAAAATGGCCTACCCTGTATATAATGACTGTATATAACGATTATTATGATGACGTTATCGTGATGACGTTAGTATAATATAGCCATTTAGCTATATTTTTTTACAACCATCTACCCCTTAGATTTATATAAAATTTATATAAAAATTTATATAAAACAATTTATATAAAAATCTATGTTGTACATTGCTATCTAAAGATGTTTAAAAAAAATCGAATAGGTAAAGCAATCTATGATATCGAAAACAAATTGTAAAAATCTAAAATATTTTTTTTCAATGTAATTATTATTCAATTATCTCAATTTTTTCATGATTGTGACTTAACAGCATCTAAAGCATATTTTTTTTTGATAATGATCCATCGAACCATTTATGAGAAGAAAAATATTAAAAATTTACTTAATCCATTTAAAAATTTACTTAATCCATTTAACTATCGTCTATCCCTTTAATCGATTTATAGAAAATATATGTTGTAGATTAATGCTAAAAAATATTTCAAAAGAAAAATGATAGGTGTACCAAGCCTATGTTGAAAAAAAATTTTGAAAGTTAAAATATTTTTTTCCAATGTTGTTATTCTCGAATTTGGATCCCAATTTTTTTTTAATGCGACGCAATTGTTTTCAAATTGCATATTTTTTTTCAAAACGATTCATTGAATCATTTAGAAGAAAAAAATTAATTTCGAAAAAAAAAAATTATTTTTTACTCTTAAGCACGTGCAGTTTCGAGGTTAATATTTTAGGAAATTGTAATTTCCATCGATAGTAACTTACAGAAAAAATTTCAGCCCTATACCTGCGAGAGCAGATTGACCGTGCTCACCCGGCTACGGCCTTTATAAATGTATCTGGTCCATAAGATAAGTCAACTTTAGATGAGAAAGGCTTTTAAGATCAAAAATCGCAATTAGTAGTGTAAATTACACATTTTGTTGAAAATTATATTTTTATCATTTAACACTACTAATTAAAAATTACTAATAATAATTACTAATAATAAATTATATTTTTATCATTACATACTATTAATAAAAAAATCCAATCGGAGATAATGCAAATATTGACTTTTGAAATCAATTTCGTAACATAAAATATTTTTTATGCATTGCGCAAACCAATAAAATCCTTTGAGACTCGCATCATGTTAAAAAATTTGAGTGAGTGTGTACGATTGGTTAAAAAAAGATGTTAATTGCATTTTTCGAATGAAAATGAGAAATTAGATTCAAATTTAGCAACTTAAAAAACTTTTAAGTCTAAAGAAACGTAATTGAAAACTATTTAATAAATCCTTAATGAATTAGCAATAAACATCATATTTAATTATGAATATCTTCTTAAACATAATAAATAATATCTTCTTAAACATAATAAATCTTCGAGAAAGCTGGAAATTTTGACATAACATATTACTTAATTTTGATTGCAATAAAATTTTTTCAATACTTCACATACCATAACTATTATATGACAAAATATATTAAAATAGCTTTCTTGCAATTTTAACTGTAAATTTATCAAAATTATGATAAAATAATTAAAAAAACACAATTATATTTAACGTAAAAAAACCAATAAAAAGAGACTATTTTTATTTTTAAGCTCAAAAAAAAGTATTTTTTGTTGATTTGTGTAATCGAATCAATATGTATGATTCAATTTTAAAAATTCTTGAAATCAAATAATTCTAATTGCCTCTTTATAATATGTATGGCGTGCGTACTGATATGAGCTTAAGCTGGTGTCGAAGAGGTTGGAATTGAAACCGATGGTGGAGCGCAAGCCGCGGCGGCGTGTGCTAGTCACTCAGTTATTCGCCGGCCATCGGTGTGGAATGATCGTTGTGACTTATCGGATCGTTTATATTTTCACATTATTCAGAATACTCGTGGTAGGGACATTATAAGGCATCATTTCTTATCCATTTATAGAAAAAAATGCTGTGATATCGTTAAAAAAACTGTTTGATACCATGTTCAATTTGTAAGAAAAAAATCTAAAGAAAGTTGCTTGTCATAATCTCTTTTATGTCTCTTTTTCTCTCTTTCTCTTTCTTGCGCTTCGAGTTTCGGTGCAATGATCTCTTGCTGGAATATCGGAAGTTTATGTGAGACATAAGTGAAAAAGTGAGCGAGAATTCAACGCCAAAAAAATTTCGAAGCAAGCCTACGAAATTGTGTTGTGCTATCATATATAAATGTATTTTAGTTTGCAAGTGTTTATTTCTGACGACCATCTACTTGCGTCCTTCTTACATCACATTGGATTAATCAGATTATGCGCATTGAAATATTCGTGTGAAAAATAAAATCAACTATAGAGACGCTGCGAAAAACAGGTAAGGATGAGTGATCGAGCATACGACTCCATGTTCGTACGTCCTTTTCGTTCGAATAAATGGCACGCACGGTTTCTCTGTGTTGCCGGTTCAATTTATATAATCGCTGTAGCATAATATTGATATTAATTTTCGCATGTTTCACATCTTGCACTCGAATATTAATGCCGAAATATATCGATAAATGTACGCATTTTTTTTCGTCGTAATTGATCACATCTACAATGTGACATGATATTAATGCGTAGCGTTTTCTTGTTTTGTAAACTTATCAAAAGAGCCTTCATTCTGATAATGTTTAAACACTAACGAAAAAATTATGCTAATTATTAGAATATCGTTAATTGCGATAAAAAATTAGATATTGTTTCGACATCAATTAAAAGCATAAAAGCAGAAATTGTCATTTTAATAGTTATATAAGTTTTAAAAAATTTAATAATAAAACAAATGATTATACGTTATTTTATAGTATAAATAAAATTAAATTCTATATTATGTACATAATATATATCTTATACGGCACAAAATGTTGCAACACTACAATATTGCTACATTACAATAATATTGTAATATGTTGCAATATTACAATATTACAAATTGCAATGCGACATTACGGAAATATTATAGAAATATAAATTAACAAAATGTGTGTCTATTACTAGCAATCTGATGTTAAAAAATATTTTGGAAACATTACAAAATTATAACTCTTTAATTCATCTATAAAAATGTTATAATAATAATTTTTTATATTTATGTATATATGCAATGATTTTTAATTCTTTGCAAGTAAAGTCAAATAAATGACAAAAAAATAATATCAATCAAATAATATAATTCTAAGCTAAAGATAAGTATTATTTTTTTGTAATATTTTATATCAACATTACGATATTTTATATTTTATAATATTTTATAATATATTTTCAGTACAACTCATGTATAAATGTGATATTAGTGAATTTCCAAAGATAATATATATTTTATTATATATATTTATATATTTATATATTAATTTTATAATATATGTTTATATATTAAAGATAGATAATATTTTATTATATTTTATTTGTATTTTTTTATGCATTTTTATATTTTCTGTGTATTTTTTACATACAGATATATGTGATTTTAAACAAACTTCTATTTAAATCAAGTTTTTTATATTTTATATATTTTTATATATTGCCGAGATATTCATTCAGAAACAAAAATATTTTATATGTAATATTACTAGATGGTTACAGTATAACTTTGCATTCTCTCAAATATATTACATTGCAATCTTACTATCATGTTTTATTGCAATATTACAAAAAGTGGATATCTTAATGTTGCCACAATTTTACAACAATAACTCAGCAGAATTATGTAACCGATTTGCAATCTTGCAATGTTTTAATGAAATTATTCTACAATATGCTTACAATCTTTCAGTGCTATATGGGATATATCATAAAACAGTTATGAGATCTGATTCGAATTTTTAAATCTGAATTTTAAAAAAATCTTAGAAAATTAATGTGTGAAATTACTATCTATATCTAATATTATCTAAAATTTTGAAAATTACATGTGTTGTTAATATACAATCTTTTAAAAGATTTTACGAAAGAAAAAGGAAGATAATATATCATAGAATTATTATTAGAATTCTTCAAATTATGTATTCTATCACAAATTTGGAATAAATTTATCATTAATAAGACTTAGTAGGTTGTTGTCATTTTTGTATATTTTCATAAAATATCTTTATAAAATATTTTTTTAAAAATAAGATTTAATTTTATATTTAATACGTATAGATGTTTCTTAACTTTTTTTGGATTTTTAAAAAACTTTACTCAATTCTAAAATAATTATATAATAATATTTTTTTAAAATATCAAAAATTTTAAATATACGGTCCACATGCAATATTATTAATATATAATACCACATCTCACTGGATGGAATAAAATGATGTATATACAACGTATCGACTAGCACGATCGTATATCAGAGCGATGAACAATGACGTAGGAAAGGTTGCGAGAACCGTGCGACATACGTGGAAAGAGCAAAAGGAGCGGCTCAATGATGGCGAGAGGAATGTATACAAGCGTGCATTCCACAGACTCGCATACGCATGATTGCATGGTTCGTGATTTGTTACTAGTTATTTACATCTGCGCATTCTCGCGCACTACTGCGTCGTTGAATTCAAATTTGCAAAAGATAAAACATATAAAAAATACGATGTTTTATTTAACTTGATTATTTAAAATATCTGCTATTGTCAATAACATGAAAAAACATACAAAGTAAAAAGTATTTGTTAAAAAAATTGAAATATTATGATATAATATGTATATATCTTACCATATTTTCAGAAATTTAATTTTAAAAAATATTTTACAAAATTCAAAAATAAATATTGTGTAACTTTTTGTTTTCAATTATAGCAATATTTCTTTGATATAACTCTTATTGTCAATAAAGATAATTTTGAATAATAAAATAACTTTATGAATATGTTTTTTGATAAGCGTGCGATCTTGGTATCCTTTTTATTTTTTTTAAAAAAGAAGATAATTTTCTACCAAACTTGTTTTTAAACATATATTTTAAATATCAAACTATATGCTAAACATGAAATTATTTCAATATAAATATAATATAAGTATACATATAAGCATTTTTAACAATTATATATGTAACTATGAATATATATATATATATATACAGGGTGACCCATTTTAACTTAGGAAGCCAAATAACTCGAAAAATAAGCACACTACGAAAAAATAGTTAGAATCAAAATTTCGTCATTTCGAGGGGGACGTACAATGACGTTAAAATCAGCCCCCCCACCCCTCCCCCTGGGCGGTGAGGAGGGGCAAGTTTGAAATCTTAAATGGAACCCCCTATTTTTCATTGCATATTCTTGTAGCTTATCTCGAGAGCTTTCCAAAACACTATAATTAAGTACCTTTTTATTAAGTACTTTTTGAGTTATAAGGCTTAAAATAATTTCTTAATTTTACATAAACCATAAAATATCTAGTGAACCATTCATTTTTCGATTATCTTACCTTCATACTTTTATGTACAAAATAATGAGAGGAATCAATTGGTGTAAAGAAAACATACAGTTGTTTTTAAGAAAAAATATGGAATTGTTAATTGCAAATTTCTGGAAAGCTCTCGAGATAAGCTACAAGAATATGCAATGAAAAATAGGGGGTTCCATTTAAGATTTCAAACTTGCCCCTCCTCACCGCCCAGGGGGAGGGGTGGGGGGCTGATTTTAACGTGATTGTACGTCCCCCTCGAAATGACGAAATTTTGATTCTAACCATTTTTTCGTAGTGTGCTTATTTTTCGAGTTATTTGGCTGCCTAAGTTAAAATGGGTCACCCTGTATATATATATATAGATATATATATATATATATATTCATAATTACATATAGAATTGTTAAAAATGCTTATATATATGCTTATATTATATTTATATTTAAATAATTATATATATATATATATATATATATATATATATATACAGGGTGTTCCACCTAGAAGTGGCCACCCCCTTTTATCTTTTAAACTAAAAGAGATAGAGCATAACAAATATATATGAGATTAAATGGCTGAACTTTATTGTGAGTATAGTGGTTGATTACAAAATTTATCTGTATTAAAGAACGGAGAAATATGTATAATTTTTTTATAATAATGTAGATATTTTGATAGATATAATAAAAGTTGTAGCGCTTTGAAACGAATATAACGATGTATGATTTAATGTAAATATTTTACATATTATACGAGATTTTCCGGCTTGAAATATCGCGGGCGACGTCCACCATTTCATTTTCGGCCCTGCGATATAACCAACTTCTGACTCGTGCATTAGAGGTTGACATATAGACATAGTAAGTATAGACCGAGCATTCATTGTATAAGCGTTAAGCATACGAAAAGAAAGACAAAAGATGTAAGATGAGTTTCTTTCTCTTTTCAATGCCGGAGAAGTGGGAAGCACTTCTCCACATCTTCTCGCGCCGGTTCGTCATGGAGGGGCGAGGAGATGAGGAGAAGTGCTCCCCACTTCTTCGGCATTAAAAAGAGAAAGAAACTCATCTTACATCTTTTATCTTTCTTTTCGTATGCTTAACGCTTATACAATGGATGCTCGGTCTATACTTATTATGTCTATGGGTTGACATATGTCATGTTGTCATTTAATCATAATACTCAGTCAGAAGTTGGATATATCGCAGAGCCGAAAATGAAATGGTGGACGTCGCCTGCGATATTTCAAGCCGGAAAATCTCGTATAATATGTAAAATATTTACATTAAATCATACATCGTTATATTCGTTTCAAACAGCGTTATAACTTTTATTATATCAAAATATCTACATTATTATAAAAAAATTATATATATCTCTTCGTTCTTTAATACAGATAAATTTTATAATCAATCACTATACTCACAATAAAGTTCAGCCATTTAATTTCATATATATTTATTATGCTCTATCTCTTTTAGTTTAAAAGATAAAAGGGGCCACTTCTAGATGGAACACCCTGTATATATATGTATATATATATATATATATATATATATATATATATATATACACATACATGTATGAATATATATATATATATATATATATATATATATATATACACATACATGTATACAAATAATTTTTTTTAATAACCCACAGGGCACAAAATACTAAAAGACGATGAAAAGACGATGAAAAGATGTCTTTTCTAAGTCGACTTTTGAACATGGCGAAAAAGACGTCTTATAGATGTCTTTTCGTCATGTCGAAAACAAGACGTCCTTTCGTCGACCTTTTAAAGTCTAGAATTTGTATGTCCAAACCCAGACAACACAGGACATTCTATGGACATTCATTTTATGTCTATTTTACGTCCATGGACATAAAATAAACGTCCATCGTACATCCGATTTAAGACATCCGTTAATGGTCAAT